CCTCCGTGTCCTCCGGGGCAGTGTCCTGCCCTTACGCCTCGGCCGCCGCCGCCGCTGCTGCTGCAGCCGCCTCCTCCCCCTACGTCTATCGGGACCCGTGTAACTCCAGTCTGGCCAGCTTGCGGCTCAAGGCCAAACAGCACGCCTCCTTCAGCTACCCCGCGGTACCCGGGCCGCCCCCGGCAGCCAACCTCAGTCCATGTCAGTACGCCGTGGAGCGGCCCGTATGAGTGCGGAGCGGGTCTGCCATCCCCGAGGACGGGGTCGGTCATTCATCGCCTCCCCGGGCTGGGGTGGTCTGGATGGGCTAGGGATGCCGGGGCAGCTGGGGGGAGGGAGGCGGCCAGCTCCAGAGAGAGCCTTCCCACTCCCAGCCCCGAGGGGTGGACGGGGCCCTACCCACAGTCCACGCCCCTGGGACTCAGGCCAGGCACAGGGACCAGTTCCCCGGGGGCCAACTCACCCTTGGCCCGCCCCGCCTTCTCCAGACTCCTCCTCTCCCATTTATCATTTTCAAAGATAAATGAAATAAACGTGCGCGGACCGTGAAAGGCCTGATGACTCGGAGTTGCAGTTGAGCCCTTTCCCCTCATCCTCCCCCAGGTCCAAAACAGAGCTGGGTGTTCAGGAAGAGGTGAGGGTCCACGTTTCTAGGGCTTCGGTCCCCCGCCGCCGCTAACGCCAGGCTGGGGAAGCCAAGGAGCAAAGGAGGGGCGCGCGTGCTGGCGTGTCTGTGTGGATGGCTCGGGGGGACTAGCCAATGGCAGGCATTGGCTAAAGTTGGTGCTGCGGCGCCACCTTGCGGTCGTATGGAGGATAACTGGGAGATCTGGTCTGTCACACTTGCAGGTGTCACTTCTGCAACTTAGGAAGCCTTCGAACCTTAGAGAAGTTACTCGGCCTTTCTGCACCTGTTTCTCACTGTTCCAATGAGGGGCTTGGGCCTCTAACAGCAATAAAATTCTGGTCTGTAACAGACATTTATTAAGTGCCTACCAAAACTAGGATTCTTATTGAGTGTCTGCGTGTGTGCTTCTCATCCACACATCCTCTTAGACGTCTAACCTACTGATCATCCCATTGCCAGCAGCCATTTCCCACCACAGCAGATCCCTTCTTCCCCCAAATTCCCCCAAACTAGAAGTCTTCTTGAAATATTTAATTAAAAAATAGAGCAAGAAGAGAAAGGTTTCTATATAGAAATATAAATAATTCGGCTGTGGGAATCCTCCCCAGTCCCAGCCCCATCTCAGGGTCTGCTTGGCCTTCATATTAAAAACAGAAACATCAAAGTACTACACCACATCCCCTTCCCATGGTTGACGTTTCTTGTCTGTCATAACTTCCTGCCACCTTGGGGCACACATCCTGTGGGGAAACCACGCAGGGAAAACCTCCTAATCATTCTCCCAAACCTAAACCAAACCCCTCCATGCCCCGGGGAGGAGAGAGTCTGGAGCCCTTTCTTCTTCTCCAACCCTTTACTCGCTCTTGGTCTTGGCTTTAACCTTGGGCATTACGTAGGTTTTGTAGAAGAAGTTGGCAAAGAGGATGAAGTAGGTTATATACACCATGAGGGACCAGAAGAATTGTTCCGTTGTGGTGTGGCATCCCTGTTCCTGTCTCCAGGTGTAAGCCAGGATGACGACAGTAGCTCCCATAAACATCTGCAGGATCTGCAGGCTGGTGATGAGCCTGGGGAACCACCTGGGGGGCTTCACTTGGGCGGCCCTCAGCGTGTAGTAGGTGTACATGATAGCATGCACACCATAGTTCATGGTCATAAACCAGCCGCCTGCAGGCACCTTGTTCTTGTATCCAAAGCTTGTGAACACTAGCACTGTGCTGTGGTGGTACCAGTGCACAAAGATGAGTGGCCGCTTACGCAGGATGATGAAGGCTGTGTCTCCTGGGAGATGGGGAGTCATAGCTGACATACCACCCAGTGTTGGGACCACCCTCTGCACTGAATGTGGGGGCAAAGGGGGAATTCTCAGGGTGGGGAGAGGGGTCTTTGTGGCAGAGAATCTGGAAGAGGGCTTGGGTGAGAGGTGTTGTTAGGACCAGGGGTGGGGAAGGGACTCTCCATGTGATGGGCGAGGGGGGAACTAAGGAAGGATGCAGTTGACTGGGTGCCAGAGAGACAAAACCTTGCCACTTACCAAGTTCAATGATCTTGCTGAGAACAAAGAGCCAGGACCAGAATTTGACTACAGATTCGTGGAGGGAGGTGGTGAAGCACACAGTATGCTTTAGGCTATGCCTATGTATCAAATTTCCCATAAAGCCCCACGTCCTCACTGCCCCCAGGATACTGAAATGGGACAGAGGAAAAGGGTGTAAGATCATTCCCAGACACCAATCCACCCTTCCCCCTCAGCCTGGTCAGGACCCAAGTTCCGCCACCTTCCCATCCTTCCAGGAGTCATGGCTTCTGAGATCCTGGAGCCAATCTGGTAAATCCAACCAGCGATCTAGAGGAGATGAGGGCTGGGAAAGGACCAGGGAATGCTGGAGGATGGGACTGAAAGTTGAGTTAAGGAACAGAATTCTTGGGATGGGTAGGAGCCTATGAGGAGATGGGTGGCAGGATGGGGGATACCAATGGGAGAGGAATAGAGGAAGGAGGGGCTAGGGAAGTTATTGGAGGATCTTAAAGTCTGGAGAAATTTGTCAGAAGTATACAGACTCCATGAGAACAAGAGGACTCATGAGAGAACAGAAACTGCCAGTCTGGTGCCTGGGGAAGGAGAGGGGAAGCTGGGGAGGGCCCTAGAGCTGAGCGAATGGGATAGGGGGAGCTGGGGGCAATTTGGGGAGTTGATGCAATTGAGGTTTCTAGAAAGCTTTTGGGGATGGAGTGAGGGTCTAGGGCAGTGATGGCGAACCTATGACATTTTTTTGGTTGATTTTTTTTGTTAAATGGCATTTAAATATATAAAATAAATATCAAAAACATCAGTCTTTGTTTTACTATGGTTGCAAATATCAAAAAATTTCTATATGTGACACGGCATCAAAGTTAAGTTAGGGTTTTTCAAAATGCTGACACGCCGAGCTCAAAAGGTTCGCCATCACTGGTCTAGGGTGTACAGGATAAGCGAGGAGTGTCTTACCTGAAGACTGCAAGGCAGAAGGACCAAAGGGTGAGAGGCACCTGCAGGTTGAAGCCCTTCCGTGCCTTCATGTAGTTGTGCCCCACGAAGATGAGCAGCAGGTAGATGAGAGCTATGGGAAATGAGGCTGTCCTGGGAGGCAGAAGGCACAGGGGAGGGGCTGGTGGGTGGGTGCTGGTTAGAGAAACACCCACTCATCTCCCCGAGTGAGTGCTCTGGATTGGAGTTCCACCTCTGCCACCGAGTAGCTTTGTGACATTGGAAAAGCTACTTTGTTCTCGGAGCCTCCGTTTCCTTATTCGTAAAAGGGGAATATTACTCCTCTCCTGACAGCATTACTATGTAAGTACTTAGGATGTACTCGGTTGGAGCATCAGCTCGTGCACCAGAAGGTGACGGGTTCAAACCTGGTCAAGGCACATACCCAGGTTGTGGGTTTGATCCCCCACCAGGACACGTACAGAGGCCACTGATCAATGTTTCTCTCTCACATTGATATTTCTCCCTCTCAAATCAATAATAACATCTCCTCGGGTGAGGAGTAAAAATATGCCAAGGACATAGCACATTTCGGGGGCTGTGTCCAAGGGTGCTGTGATTCCTGCTCTCAGTGGGGCTGGGAGTGGGTGACAAGTGCTGGCCCATGTCTAGAAACAACACAGGGCGATGGCGTAAGAAGAATGTGGCAAGTAGCTTCCACCAAATTGGCTGGAGCACAAAATCAGCCCACAGACACCTTGGAGGAGCCTTAGGGCAAGGCCAGAGAGCCCGAGGGAAATGTTGAAGAGCTCCCTGGCTTTGCCCCCTTCTCCACAGCTGGGACGATGAAACACTTGGAGAACAACGTGGTAATTGTGAAGGGCAGGCTGTCCCTCGGCACCAGCACTATGTACACGGGCACCCCCGGCCACGCGAGGCCACAAAGGACAAAGAAGAATCATCTACAGGCTGGTGGGACTAGGAGTTCAAGTCAACCCCATGCCTCAGAGACCAGTTCTCGCTACACTCTTTCCCTTGGGTTTCTGTCTCCTCATCCCATCCTTTTATTTCTTCTCTCTCTCTCTCTCTCTCTCTCTCTCTCACCCCTTTCTCTCTTTCCAGATCTAATCTCTTTGCGGCACCACACTACCTGCACCTTGGACAGCGGGAATGTGGAGCCGGCACAGGAGAGCCCGGTGCCATTGCGGGCAGCGTCCCCCCACCCCCGCTAATGCCAGTCATCAGGATCGTGGCCTTTCCGCTGCCCCGGTCTCACCAGTACTCCTCCAAAAAGGGCCTTGGGTCCTCTAGCAGCTCGAAGTTGTAGGGCTGGAGCAGCGGCTCTTTCCCGTCCGAGGCATTCATGACTGTGCCCATTTCGTCCTGCAGGCGTCAAGGCCGGGAGCTTGGGGAGCCGAACCACAGGTTGGGGGCCCGAGGAGCGAACCTGGGGGCGGGACAGAACGGACCCAGGACCCGAGGAACTCCGAGCGCCCGATTCAGACGAGTGCGCCGCGGTCGGACCCCATGGCACCGCAGCCGCCTCTGCCGTATATAACGCGGAATCGCAAAGCCGCGGCGCCGTTAGCCAATCTCCACCCAGGCGAGCCCCTATCCCGCCCCTTGGCGGAAGCACACTCTCTGATTGGCCATCCTTCCACACACACGCCCACCCCAAGGGCCGGTCCTAGACCCCTCGCCACGCCTTTCCCGTCCTATTTTCACCCCAACATCTCCACTCTCACTCGCTTGGCTTGGCTCCGGCGGCCTTCCCAGGTGCTTGGACGTCCCAGGCTTCCCCAGGAACGCCAACCTCCGCCTTCACCTCAGTTTGTTTTAATCCTGACCTACTTGACAGTGAGGATCCGAGAGTGGAGGCGTCCTCGGTCTCTGGTGCCCTGACCCAGAAATAGGGATACCCGTTTCCCCGCTTCCCTGAGACCCTGGAAAACTCAGGCCAGGGGTGCGGACAATCGGACTGCCTCCTTCCGGTCTGTGGTTGTGGGTGGCAGGGAGGTGAATTTTAATGAATTTTATTGTCGAGGTTGTTGATGTTGATGTTTGAGAAGATGGTTGTTGAGGCTGTTGTGGTTTCTTTACAATTTCCTGAATTCCCGAACTGCTTCACAGCCTGACACCCAGTAATAACCCAGGGGAGGAAATGGGGTCACCCTCTGGGATTCTGGGATTATTGTCTTCAGGTTTCCTGGAGGCCTCCAGGGGTTAATAGGAGGGGAGACGCAGTGTATCTTCCCCAATCTGTGATTGTCTAATCAAATCTACCTTTGTCCTTGCCTGTGTGCTCAGCCCTTTTAAGGCCTTACTCGTCTGTCCCTTATTTCTCTCCTGTTTTATGAAAGTGAGAAAGAAATACAAGATTTGCAAAACAAGTGCTAAGATAACTAAATACTAGTATGCAATATTTATAATCAAGATATAGCTATAAACAGCAAAGCCCACAGGCTCTGGAGCCAGAGGACCTAGGTAGGAAGCCCAGCTCCACTTCCTTGACCTCAGCCACTGTCTGGGAAAGGGTCACATGTGGCTGAAGTCATTGACTAAATGAGTCACAAGTGCAGTCCTTTGTCTCTGTACCTCATTACTTCTCACCTGATTACTACAGCCACTATCATAGTCATGGTAACTGGTTGCACCATTTCCTCTAATACAGTGCTTCTCTCTCTTTATTGCATTAGAACCTGTAAAGAATTCCCAAATCTGGCTGATCATAAGTATCCTGAGCTCGAGCCCCAGAGATTCTGACCCAGTAGTTGGTCCCAGTCCATACTTTGAAAACCACCACTTTCTGTCCTCTCATGCCACTTTCCTGCTTAAAACCCTTCGGTAGCTATATATGTGTGTGTGTATGTGTGTGTTTTTATTGATTTTAGAGATAAAGGAAGGGAGAGGTATAGAGAAATAAAAAAATTGATGAGAGAGAATCATCAATCAGCTGTCTCCTGCATGACCCCTACGACCCATACTGGGGATCAAGCCTGAAACCCGGGCATGTGCCCTGACCGGGAATTGAACTGGTGACCTCCTGGTTCATGGTCGATGCTCAATCTCTGAGCCACACCAGCCAGGCCCTAACCTCTCTGACACTCTCTTTCTTCATCAGTAAAATGTAGATAGTCATGCTTGCCTGCCTACTTCGCAAGGTTGGTGTCAGTATACAAGCCAGATCATGTCAATGAAAGGATATTATGGACTAGACACAGAAATGTCAGGGTAAATAATTTTGAAAGGTTTACAAATGCACATAGAATATGTATATTCAGTCTTGGGTGTCTCTCAAATGAAGACATTTTACATTGTCATCCCTGTGAAGTTTGAGGCTTGAGGGCAGAGTGTGTGGAAGAGAAGAAGAAAAATCTCCAGAAATTATTTCCTAGGGGAAACGTTCCCTGACCCTAGGACTTGGTCTGTTATCTCTATTATATAGAAATTGTTCTCATAACATGGTATTCTTTTCTTCAATGAGAGTTTGTAATTACTTCATTATTTTTATGATTAGTTGGTTAATGCCCTTTCCCCCACTAGTCCTTGAGCTCCATAATGCAGGCAATATGTCTATTTTGTTCAACATCATTCTCCTAACACTGGGCATACAATAGGTACTCAGGTAATATTTATTTCATGAATGACTGAAATAAATGAAATCCTCAGCCTATAAATCTGGGTGATGCTCTTTGTTTCTCCGAGATAAACATGCCAAGTTTGTTGGGTCTTTTTACCTCTTGGTCTCAGCTTTATCATCTGTAAAATGGGAATAACATCTACCTCAGAAGCATGTTTATGAGTATCAAAGGAGATCATATATGTTAAAGGACATTATCTGCCCAGCCAGCGTGGTTCAGTGGTTGAGTATTGACCTATGAACCAGGAAGTCATGGTTTGATTCCTAGTCAGAGCATATGCCTAGGTTGCAGGCTGGATCCCTGATGTGGGGCGTGCAGGAGGCAGCCAACCAATGATTCTCTCTCATCATTGATGTTTCATTTCTCTCTCCCTCTCCCTTCTCCCTTCCTCTCTGAAATAAATAAAAATACATTTTTTAAAAAGAACATTATCGCCCTAGCTGGTTTGGCTCAGTGGATAGAGCATCAGCCTGTGGATTGAAGGGTCCTGGGTTTGATTCTGGTCAAGGGCACATGCCAAGGTTGCAGGCTCAATCTCCAGTAGGGGCCGTGCAGGAGACAGCCGATCAATGATTCTCTCATCATTGATGTTTCTATCGCTCTCTCTTTCTCTTCCTTCCTCTCTGAAATCAATAAAAAAATTTAAAAAGAACATTATCAACATAAAATGTTAAGCAAACAATAGTAATTATTACCAAAAAAAGTGAATTTGTACAAATTTCAACTTCTTTTTAATAAAACTCACTAATTAACTAAAAAGGAGAGCCATGCCCTAGCCCAGTGATGGCGAACCTTTTGAGCTCGGCGTGTCAGCACTAACTTAACTCTGGTGCTGTGTCACATATAGAAATTTGTTTATATTTGCAACCATAGTAAAACAAAGATTTATATTTTTGATATTTATTTTATATATTTAAATGCCATTTAACAAAGAAAAATCAACCAAAAAAATGAGTTCACGTGTCACCTCTGACACTCGTGTCATAGGTTCGCCATCACTGCCCTAGCCGGTTTGGCTCAGTGGATAGAGCGTCAGCCTGTGGACTGAAGGGTTCCAGGTTTGATTCTGGTCAAGGGCACATACCTGGGTTGTGGGCTTAATCCCCAGTGTGGGGCTGCAGGAGGCAGCCAATCAGTGATTTTCTCTCATCATTAATGTTTCTATCTCTCTATCCCTCTCCCTTCCTCTCTGAAATCAATAAAAATATATTTAAAAAATAAAAAATGAAATAAAATATACAAAGGAAAGCCATGACCTGGTGATTGATTCCACAACAATGTGAATTTACTTAACACTAATGAGTTGTACACTTTAAAATGGTTAAGATAGTAGGTCTGGCCAGGTAGCTCAGTTGGTTGAAGCATCGTCCTGGTGCACCAGGGTTGTGGTTGAGTCACAGGCGAGGGTTAACCAGTGAGTGCATGGATGAGTAGAACAGCAAGTAGATTCATTCTCTCTCTCTCTCTCTCTCTCAAATCAATAAATAAACTTTTAAAAATGGTTAAGCCTGGTCGGCATGGCTCAGTGATTGAGCGTTGACCTATGAACCAGGAGGTCATGGTTTGATTCCCGGTCAGGGCACATACCTGGGTTGTAGGTTCGATCCCCAGTGTGGGGCGTGCAGGAGGCAGTCGATCATTTTTCTTTCTTATCATTGATGTTTCTATCTCTCGCTCCTTCTACTCAGAAATCAGTAAACTATATTTTAAAAATAACTTAAAAATAGTTAAGATTGTAAATGTTATGTTATATATATTTTACCACAATTTAAACATTTTTTAAAAATGAAAGCCATGAAATGGAAATATAGTTTTAAGTAGGACATATAAATAGTTAATGTGCATACTACATAAAAAGCTTATTCCTAGTCCCATCTCTCTGACCCTTGGTAAGTGGCTAAGGACACAGATAGGCTCATCGTATAATTCCAGTGTCCCCAAATCTACCTCTCATTAGCTGCCAGAAAGGTCTTTCTAAAACACAAATTAGCTCATGTCATTCCTCTTTAAGAATAATGACAACGAAAAACTTCAGGACAAAGGTCAGGCTCCTGAAGTTAGCCCTGACCCATTATCCATCAAACCTCAGCCCCTGCATTCCACATTTTAGCTATAATGAAACAGTCACAATTATTCCCTCTCCCCAGACATTTTTTTTTTTATCACCTGGACAAATCTTACCCATTATTCGGCCCAAGCTCTAAAGTCACTTGCCCTGCAAAAACTTAATCTATTTTGGAGACCAACCCCTTCCTACTTTGTCTTCAACCCACAGGACTGCCCAAACTGCCTGCCAATATTGTGCTTCTACCAGTTGAGTACAGTTAGTCATTTATTTTCTATACTATCTTGGCTCCCCCACCCTATCTTATCTCAAATAGTCCTTTTTGTTAGGTCACTCTTCTTGAGGGAAGCACACAGGACTTGGCACATAGTGGGCACTCAAAAGATGTCTGTTGCTTTGAATTGACTAGGCACCTAAGAGGAAATACAAACAATAAACATATATAGTTTTTAAAGACTCAACTTCCTTAGTAATTACGGAAATGCAAATTAAAGACTGTCTGTATAGTATGGTCCCAATTAACAGTCATTAAACTGTGTAAAAATTAAATATCCAACGCTGGTCAAAGCTTTGGGAACCAGATACATTCACACCTGGCTAGTGGCCAGATAAACTGGCATAATCCTTCAAGAAGCACACTTAAGTAATACTTAGCAAGAACCAATGGATATCCTTTGGCCTGGTCTCTCACCTAGGAATTAAAAACCCAGTGAAATAGGCCAAAATAAAATCGGTATGTAAGTCAGTGTGACTTAAAATAATAGAAACCCACCAATAAATAATTAAATTATTAAATACTAATATTACAAAACAGTTTTCAGATACCATAACATGAAGAAACATGAAACTATGTTTATAAAATAATGT